TATGTTGACAGATGCCCAAGTTTATTGTGTGACGTCTATGATCTATTTATTTCGATCACCACTTACCGCTAAAGCCATTTATACGAAAAAGGTATAAGCAAAGTCACACAAGATAATTATATAAGATTATATAAGATTATATGATAAGATTATATGATAAATAACAGGAAACAAAAAGAAAAATTTTTTGTTTATATTGCTACTTTACATTGTAAATTATTTAAGAAAGAAATAATTATATTTGTTTTTAACTTTAGGAAAAATATTGAAGTGACATTAAAAAAAATTTAGTGTCTTTAGCAAAATTATTTAGTTGAGGTATTTTTTAGCAGCAACCAAATATTTTATATAACAAAAAAGAATCCCGCACAAACCTTATGGAAATTGAATTTTGGTGGAATTGTTTAAAAATTTGATATGTTGTAAATCTTTCTGTTCTGATAAAAAGTCACAAGCACAACTCCCCATAATGAACTGTTTGACCTCTACGAAGCGTCGTTTTTCGAAACGAGCTACTACAATTTTTTATTTTCAACGACTACAGTGCATTCCTACGTCATTATTTGCACTTTTTATATATATTTTTAAGTAAAAAGTTATATGGACAATATTGATCTGATTGTTTCTGACAAATCGGGATGCTTTTGATTATTGTGAATTTTGTATTATAAGATTCAATAGAAAAATGAATTTTTATTATATTTAAAAAATATAATTTTCTTACAAGAAAGAAATATTTAACTGACAAGAACTAATAGTATGAGTAGTTTATGAATACTTAATATAAAAATTACTGTTGTAAAAAGAAATATTTGTAAGAGTAGTTGTGAAATAACTGATTCAAAGAGTAGCTCTGAAAAAAAGTAATAGATCAGAAGTTCAAGCACAATCTCGAGACGCGCATAAAGATTCGTTACGTAAAACCGGATGTTTACTGAAATGAGATAATAATATTTTTTTAATAATAAAAGAAGTCAAATTATTCATTACAGCGTTATGCTCTCTTGTGAAGATTTTTTATCAGGACGACAAGATCTACAACATATTAAATGTTCAGGCAATTCGGCTGAAATTCAATTTCCATAAGGTTTATGCAGGGCCCTTTAATAGCTTTTTACAAAATAATTTTTTTTGTGAATATAAGAAATATTCGTAGATACTAATTAAACTAAATTTAGTTCACGTAAAATTACAATTTTGCTCGGTATATTTTAACCAAAAACTTTTGTTTGGTGTATTTTAATTAAATTTTTGTTATTATAACAAAATTTTAATTTATAAAACAAAATATTTTTGCTATAATATATGTATCGATTTTTAGTAACAAGCTGTTTCCAGCTTTATTATGCAAAAATATGAAAATTTTTCACTGCATTGTCTGACTGTAATTTCCGATTATGGATTGGCTCATTTTGCTTCGGTACAAAAACAGTCGAAGGATTGCCGGCTCCATTGTGTCGTCGACAATAGGATACGGCAAACTCCGCTTCTTCCATCTTGCTCTCTTTTTCCCGCCTCTTTTCTTTCCTCGACCTTTTTTCTTTCCAGTCCGCTCGCCGCGGTGCCTTTGTAACTCGCGAAAAAGTTACGTCGCTCTCTCCTAATTGAAACTGCAATCAGTCTATGCAAATAGTCCCCTGAAGGTGCATCCTTCCGTGCAAAGGGCGTGAACAGGAAAGTCGGGAAGCTGGCCAAGGCGCCCTTGTTCCTTTAAACTTTATGTACTATTCCATTAGGATGATTGCATGTGCTGCAAGCACATTGATATAAATAGTTCTTAGTTGCTTATTACAAACAGAAGGTTAAAAAGCTGTAGCAGTCATGCAAAACAATAATGACGTATCTTTTATGTTAACTTTAATCTTCTATCGGTTATATTAGGTGTTGGAATTAATTCGTAGCGTTTTACAAGTGATGGGAAGTACTTTCATTAATGTATTTTTTAATGCTCATGTGAAATAAATAACATTCTTTCATTAAAAAACGCTACGAATTAATTCCAACACCTAATACATTTTACGTTTTTAAAATTTATTTATATATATATTTATGTATTTTCTATCATTCTCTTTGCAAAATATAACAATGTTATATGTACATAATGTAACACACACACACACACACACACACACGCACACACACATACATACAAATAATTACATGTTATATAATTAAAATTAATTAAAATATATAACTTCTTTAACTCTTTTAGCTGCATTATCAAAATGAAAACAAAATGTAATTTCTTCTTTTTCTTATTTATATATTTTACAAAGAAGTTATTAGTTATATCATGGAAAATGCGAAGTAACACACGACATTAGGAGCGAGCAAAAACTCTGCTTCGACTGCGACGTGCAATCAAGGTTGCCCTTCAACCGACGACGGTAATCGAGTCCCCATCGGAGCTCGCTAATCACCGGACTTCGATTGCGATTCGTCGTTATCCCGAACGATTTGTCTGTGCGATTGCGAGTGGCACGCGCGAGCGCAGCCACCTGTTGCTTTCGCAGCATGCGAGGAAGAAAGCCCGCGATAATTATTATGGCGAATACGCTCTTTCGCTTTCCTCCCTTTCTTTTCATCGTTGCTATGAACAGCCCTCCTGCTGTTCACTTATTCCCTTTCATATACACTCCATTTTCCTCGCCTTCCGTTTTCCCCGTCACAGTCATTCCTCCTTGAATTATTATTTCTTTCGTCCTCCTCGTTTCATGGCACTATATGTGGACAAAGGATGAGCAAATGCTTCGAAAAATTCGCCACAAAAGAAACAAGATTCTGTGAAGATGCCCAATAAACGATATCCAATAAACGAGAAAATAACATCGTTACACGAACAAGAAATTAATTGTCATAAAACTTCATAAAAATAGCAAATCAACTATTTCTATTATTATAAAAACTTTCGTTACAAATATGTTTTATACATCTGTAATATTAATTTGCAAATTTAACATAATTATTATAATATTTGCAAATTAAATTGCTGGTCAATTTAACAATTCGATGCTCTTACATATCTTAGAACGATCTTAATAATCCTATATGACATATTAAATCTGTAAGAACTTGCAGTTTTCGAGTTAATTTGCAAATCATTATGTGATCTTAGAAATTCTTAATTTTTTATAAATATTTTTATAAATATTAATGGGATATGGAGTGAGATTTGTTTGTCTCAGAAATCTAGTTTTTTGATATTTTTAGATATTTGTAGTGAGACGTAGAGTGACGTTCTTTGAGAGCGCAGGATTTTTTTCAAACAAATGACGCTACTCTACGTCCCATTACGATTATCTATCAAAGTAAGAATTTCTAAGATTTTGTTTCAATTTATGTATTTTTTCGTAAAAACTTTCCTCCAGGGATGCGTTCCAAAATTTTACCTTGGTCCATTCCGAACTACTACTGTGACTGAGTGGTTAACTAATGATAGCCGTTTTAAAACGTGCAGTTAGTCATCCACGAAGGTAATTTTTCTACCTTGCAAAATTGAGAGATAGGAAAGGTAACTTTCATGAAAATGCGGGAAAAATTCAAAACATGGGTTGCTAACACGAACCAACATGAACTTTGACTAACGAAAAAGGATACCTTGTAAGGATACGAAATATGGCAAAATGTATGTCGTCCTTGTAAAAGGTAAGATCCTACATCAATTCTTCTGCGTCATCTTCACTGTTACTATCATTTTTGATGTTTATGATAATATTTGATAAATATAATGTATTTGCAGCACAAACTTTGGTTATAATTACATGTTTATTTATTTCTGCTGTCATGATGTATACTGATGTATACCAATGAGCGTACTAAACTCGTTCCAAAATGACTAATACTTTAGTTAAACTTTAGTTAACTTTTCTCTTCAATCTCATAACCATCGAGGTTGACCAAAGTTAACTTTGGAACGCACCCCAGGGTGATATACATTTTTTAAAAGTATTTTCCGTTTGAAATCTATTTTCAAGGGAATTCGAAGTCCTGACTACAGTATTATAAATAAAATATTTCTGTGACAGGAATTTAAAATTTTTTAATATTATAATTTGGAAATGGGACTGTTTACTTGAATAATCCAAATTAATACGAGAAGCGTCGGTTCAAAATTAGATGTTAAGAGTAATATACACTTTTAGAAATCTATATATAATATTTTATATAAAGCTGAAACATTTTTTTTTATTAAAATTTGATATTTATGAATTCTATCTGGAATTAATTTTTTTTTATAGTTTAATTTGCAGTTTATTTGAAAATTTATAAAAATTTTTGGCATTTTATAAAAATCATGGGACTCAGATCTTCTTATACATCAATGATTCTAGGGAAAACATTGAAAAACCATTTAGATTTATCTATTTTATAAATGGTTAAATGATAGACATGATTTTATTTCAAATGTAAAATGAAAATGGTTTTTCAAAAACCATTTAAAATAGAAAATGCAAAATGTCATTTCCATTTTAAATACATATTTAAAATAGAACTATTTTAAATCTTACTCAGCCCTCACGAGCATCATGCATGAAACGTAACGCAACATTAATTAAGATTCAAAGGTTTATATATATATAATATAATATTTATTAATAAATATTAAATGATGGATAGTGAATGTGACAGAAACTTTTGAAATATTGGAGTTAAAGTATCTAGCGTGAGTATGTGCGATTGAGTTATAGAGTCGTGTAAATTATGAATGATGAGAATGCTATTGTTTAAGTAAAAAAATTAATTTATTCGAGAAGTATGCTTAGTGACTTTTTTACCTTTTTTAAACAAATAAATATATCCTTATAAGAATATTCTTATAAGAATATAAATGAGAGATAAATACTATATACACATTGATCAATATTTATGCATGTTTATACATATTTATACGTATTTATAATGTATAAACAATTTTTTACCGGGATAATATTGTTTTTATCATGTTAATGAGCACTTTATATACTGTGTTCGTCGGTAAGTATAAGATAGTGACAAATTTTTGAAACATTGAAGAGAGTCAGTTGATCACAGATTTTACATTTTCGTACGCTTAAACGTAAAATTTAAAATATGATGTCGTGGCTAAAGGAACGCATTTTAAACTGGTTTCAATTCCTAATTTTAAAGATCATTAAGATTAGTGAAGTACCTAAACACGTGGCATTTATCATGGATGGTAACAGACGTTATGCGAAGAAACAGAACTTGCCGATAGCAGAGGGATACTCAAAAGGGTATGTATTTAAAAAAAAAAAATTGCAGATATACTAGCTAATTGTTGCCTCTTATATTTTATTTACGTCAGGTACGACAAAATGGTTGAGCTGATATACTTGTGCAGAACTCTTGATATTGTAGAATTCACGATTTATGCATTTAGTATAGGGAACTTTAAACGTAACAAAGAAGAAGTTGATAGTCTCATGAACCTTGCCAGGCAGAAGTTCAAGGATTTATTAGAAGACAAGTATGTGTGACATTTAGAATTTTTTAAATCAGTTATCATCGCAGCACAATATATAGATTTTGTTATTACAAATTTATATAAACAATTTCCAGGAAAAATTGAAGGACAATGGAATATGTGTTCGTGTGTTTGGCAATTTTTCCCTATTGCCAGAAGATTTACGTAAATTAATAGCTGAAATTATGATTGTTACTAGGGAAAATAAGAAAATATTTGTTAATTTTGCTGTTGCTTATACATGTAAGTACAATTACAATGAATCATATTTATGTTTACACTTGATTTTATATATTACATAATATGTTTAGGCATAATATGTTTAGGCCTGCGTTTAGGAAGTGCGCTATTAGCGCTATTGCATCATTTTGTCATCCTCGTATTTTATGTCTCATAAACAATTAAGATAGAAAGATGCAATAGTACTAATAGTGCACTTCCTAAACGCAGGCCTAAACATATTATGCCTGAACATATTATGTAATATATAAAATAAGTATATTCCCAGAACACAGCTTGATCCGATTTAAAAAGATTATTGATATATCGGTGTACTCTCTGGACAATTAGTTTCGTGACGTATATATAAATAAATTAATATTTTATATAATTTAAAAATATATACACACATGCATATATAATTTTTATACTTTTTAATAGCAAGGGACGAAATTACTCATGCAATTAAGGATATAATACAAGGTGTAAAGGATAATGATATTTTATTAGAAGATATTAACGAAGATCTGATTACTAATTGTTTGTATACTTACAAGTCTCCAAATCCAGATATATTAATTCGTACTTCCGGAGAAATTCGACTTAGCGATTTCCTCTTATGGCAAGTAAGAAAGCTTATTTAATTTTTATGATTTGACTTTATCCCCTTGTAATCAAAGCAGGACCATGCATTTCAAAATTTTACGTAAATTTCTTTTAGATTTCCAATACTTGCATCTATTTTATTAAAGTATTGTGGCCTGATATCAGTTCATGGAATCTTCTTAGTGTAATTTTTTATTATCAGAGATATTATTCCAGTCTACAAAAAAATAGAGACAATTTTTTGGAACCAATTATACGTAATACTAGAGTATCCACGTATATTGATAAGTTGCATAACAAACGCGACATGGAAATCGAAAAAATATATCAGTCAGCAATTCAGTCCCAGAAATAAACATATAGATATATATTTATAAATCTACACATCTGGAATGTTATAAATTTGATAAGTACAATCAAAATGTTCCCTGTGAGTTTCATATTTAGAGGGTATGATTTTATTTAGTCTGAAATTAGACAAAATAAATGAAGTAAAACAATATTTGCGATATGTATATTAATGAGTATACATAAATTCATAAACTTTATAAGTATATTTCATTATTATATTTAACTATATTATACATTTAATTATAAAGTGACAATATAATATTTAGTAATAATAATAATAAAATTTTTTAATCAACAAATATTTTTGAAAATATACAATTTATATTTTAATACTTAAATCCAAATTTCTATTTTTCATACTTTTATCACTTTTTATAGTTATTATATTACGTCGTTCATGGAATTATCAAGTATCAATAGGGACATGCAACATCATCATTGTTGCAGATAGTCCTATTTTGAGTGATAATCGATACAATAGTGATACACGTGCGCCTTCGTATGCTATATAAAGGAGCATGCGATTGTGCGTCTGACGTCTTATCATCAGCAAACGCTGCTCATTGAAATGTTCCTTAATCGATAAGCATTTCTCGGAGCATTGGGTGCTATTGTATCGACTCGAAATGCTTCGCGACGGCTTGGCATTATAAGGCCAAAACAATATGCCGCATATGAATACACTTCCCTCACGTGCGAGACTGGAAATAGAGTTGTGCTTGTGATTGGAGCGAGTTGTTAATGAACGTCTTTCCTGAAAATAACAGTTTATTACGACAATTATTCGAGCGATATATAAAAGTGATAAAAATAAAAATTATTGAAAGTATAAAAACATAGTTGAAGATTTTGTATGTTGAAATTGAAAACTAGAGGAAAACTAATAAATTTTACATATATTTATAAAAATTTTAAATGAAGTTAGATAAATGAAAAATTGAAGGATAAAAGAATCTGACAAATATAAAAGAAAACTTGTTTTTATTTGTTCCACGTCTTTTATTTTTATTATCAATTAGATTCGCGTACTTCATGAATAATGGCTTAGAATGATTGCCTATAACAATTTATTATCTATTTCTTTACGAGAGTAATAAAGTAAATAGAGGAAAATAGTTTAAATGATATGATATTGATAAGGAATTTTTCAATACTGAAAAAGTGTATATATTTGTACGTGTATCGCGATCTTATTAATATTTGTTTCTCTCATTATTTACTATTTAATTTGAAATAGCTGAACACAATATTGCACAAATGGAAAACGCGATACTGGCATTAAATGTTGCGCGTTTAATCTTCACTCGTTCGAGCCGAGAGAGGCTGACACGAGAGAGCAGCGTAATGAAACAGACGGAAATAAAAAGGATGTTACCGTCAAGATCTGAAAATAATCCGGAAAATGGGGAGAAGTGGGAGGATGCGCGAGAGGGTGTAGAGAGTAAGATACGGGTTCTCCCTTTCGCGCAATTAAAATTTCCATTTCTCTTTTCCGCGGTCGGCTTTGTTTTCCTTCTATCTATTCGGGATCGCGGCATCAAAGGTACCTTGTGCCGTTGTAATAATAACAGCCCCCTCAAAAAGCGTTTTCATTGTAACGAGTCACAGGATTTAAATCGTTCTCTTCGTTAATTGGCCTGTCGCTGCGCCCGGTTGCGTCCGGCTCCCGTAATACTTCGAATAATAAAACGCGGGTAGCTGGTCTTTCTCGGATACTTGCCATTAGCTGTTTGACGTTTAATCACGAATACTGAAATAAGATGAAAGGAATACGCTTAATTAATCATGCGCGATTGTATTTGTTGACGTATTGTACATCATTTATCAGTGTGTCATGATAATTCAATCAAATGATGCTTGGCTGTAGCTTCTGTGATCAAAATCAATTCTGTTTACTACAGTGTGAACTAAAATATCAAAAAGAACTTATATTTGTCGTTAGTAGAACTACATTGATTTTTCAGTATTTAATAAAGTTCTATTTTTGTAAATTTATGTTTTATAATTGAAAGGTTTTCCACAATCTTATGTGAATCCATTTTTTTTTAATTCAAGTTCTGGAGCAAAATCTCTATCATAACGTAACATCGTGAATAATTTTATTCCGACAAAAATCAAACTATAATAGTATATCGCTTTTACGATAAGAATAAGGTAAGTTTCATTTTTAAAAAAAGATAAATGTTAAAAAAGACAAATATAAAAAAATAAGTGTAAAATATTACAGAAGAAATATAAGTAATAAATATAAAATTGCCGTAAGAATCAAACATATTCATTGAATTATAATTCTTTTAAATATTTTATATAGATTCTTAAAATATTAATTAAAATTTAAAAAAACTTTGTTTTTATATTTATTATATGCTCGGAAAAAATTACTACATTTATTTATTAAACGGTTTAAACGGCACTTGTTTTGTTGTGAAAAATTTCCCAATTGTGTATTGCTTAGAAATTAAACGATAGGTTACGTATTTAATTAATTAAAATGAATGCAATTTTTGTAACTATTTTTTAACAAATAAAAACTGTATGCTTACAAATATTGACAAATGTTTAAGAGTTAAAACTGACAGTTTATTATGTAAAATCTTCTTTAAATCACTTCTTATCGCGTCTAAAGATTACCTATATGACTTAACATCTATCATGATTTCAAGAGATTTTTTGTTTTTAATCATTCTAATGCACAATTTACAAATGTTTGACAAAAAATTGTTTCTACTTTGTTATATCTAAATCAAGTCGTAATACCGATTGGAGCGAGAGTAAATCTGATACGTTATCTGATGCAGGGTAAAAGGACAAAGGGCCCAAATTCATTAAGGATACACATGGGTAGATTCAGTAGTAAGCCAATTAAGCTGGAAAATCTCTCTGCTGTTTTTTCACATTTTGCTGTTTATTTGTATTCATGAAATAGTAATAGACGGTAACACAAACCGTCAATTTTGCGCTATTATTTTACTTACTATTTTAAATATCGAAATTTGACTTAATCATAAATTAATTGTTACGATGATCTCAACATTTGTAAGTTAAACGAATTTCTCGTAGCTCAATATGATTTATTGATTTAAGAAGTAAAAAGATAAATTTTACAAAAGAACGTATTTATTTCTCATTAAATTCATGCTGTCGGATTTATTTCCATCTTTTATCTCCCTTCCCTTTCCCCTTCCCCATTTCATTCTGTTCGCTCGTTCAAAATTTCGAGCGTTTGCGTAAGCTACGATTAATATGCATCAGCGAGTAAAATCCAGTGCTCAGTTGCATTTACAAAATGAATAAACAGTCATGGCTGGCAATTTTCCGCCTAGCCACGCACTGTTTGCTCCAATCGATCATCTGTCAACTAAACCTTTTCAGCTCGAGTTTGACTAATTAAATGGTGATACTCTTTGTTAGTTTCGAAATGTATTATGCCATACAAAACATATACTATTCTATTGCTACGAGTGCTGCCTACATGTAAACCAGTAATGTATATTTAATAATAACAGAACCTAAAGAATCACATGGAATATGAAAATATAAATTTAAAATTATCTTTTTAAATAGTTACATTTTATTATGAATAGCGAAATATGATTGCAGCAAAAAATAGAGATTGATATGAGTCAATGTATAATTGCAAATTGTTATCCTATAAATAAGTAAATTAACTTGAAAAAAATAGAGATATCAAAAGAAAAGAAGAATGTAAGTTCGTGTTTCTTACATAGGTATACACAATTATCTGTTTATACGAGTAAAATTACAATAGGAATAGCAAAAGATCACTAGCATGATACTATCATATTATTTTGATTCTTAAATTATATTTTGATAAATCTGAAGTTCGTATTTGGGATACTATCGAATACTAAGTACTAAATGACTATGTACACTACTATATAATATTATTAAAATAAAGAGTAAAATAAATAATAATAATAATAATAATAATTTTATAAATATAATATTGAATGAAATGTTTATGATTATGTAGTAATCTTAAAAAATTAATGGAACAAATTAAAAACATAAAATTATAAAATTTTTTAATAAATTAATAAAAAAATTAAGGTATTATCTTATAGGAATTATAGTAGATGTTCATAGTTCATACCCATCTCAAACAATATTTTCTCATGTTACGGGCACGAGAATGTTGCATCGCTTAGCGTCGATTATACCGGCCTATTTCGCTCTTGGATTCTCTGTGGGGGGGAAAAGACGAGATGAAAGAGTATCTCATTATTGTCGGAGGTAAAAGGAGGCGCGAAGCGATAACTTTGCATTTAGGTCGTCTGATAGGTGCGCGTTTATGCGCTTCGCACGATTAATAACGGGGAAAAGCCAGGGAAAGGGAAGGGAGAGAGCTCTTATCGTATATCATTAGATTTGAAATCGATTTCGGTATCGGTGAAGAAGACAGTCTTGAATATATACGAGCCCTCTAGCTTGCGATCGATCGGTCCTTGATACATACAACAAAGGGTGATATCCTTTGTCGCTGTTTGCAAAAGCACTATAGTTTCTAGTAATAGATTCTTTTGGATTATAAACTAAAGATTTTAGATTTTAGATTTTAGATTACTTGCAAAGATAAATTATAAAAAATTAGGAGAGTACTAATAGGAACGAATAAAGTTCTTCTTTTGAAAAAATTAATATTAGCATTATAGATGACAAGTTATAATAATTAAACATTTTTTAATCAAGTTAATTTGATTTTAATTTATTTATACCATAATTTTGTTTTGGAATTTGAATTTAGATAAGTTACACGAATGACAAAACTTTATCAAAAATATAGTAAGATCGGTAGCGTAGAATCTTTTGTAACGCACGACGCATCCTATATAAGAAAATGAGTCAATCAAAATTCTTTATTTTCTTTCTTTCTCTATAAAATAAAAGACTCTGATTAGTTAATTTTCTTATGCTTTATGCATTATGCGTTATGCAAAGATCTATGTTCCGTCCTTAAACTATGAAAGTGTACTGAAAATGGCAGATCGCTCTTCGATAAAATAATTGTTTATGAAGCAATAGCTGCTACAATCAAATGTACTGATCTTCAAGTATTTGAGAAGTTAGTAACAATATCAATAGTGGTGGACAAATGCTAACTATAGTTTGAGTTTAGGATGAG